GTGCAGCCCTCAACCTTTGCAGGCAGCAAGCAATCAAAACATTGCAACATTCGCCAGTTCGTTACTCATTGATCATTACACGCTTAATAAGAGAGGGAGAAACGCAAGGGTGAAACAGACGCGGGAGAAGAGCGAATGACAGGTGGGAGGGAGAGGGAGAGAGAGGGAGAGGAAGTGGTGGAAGGGAGAGGAAGAGGTGGGAGAGGAAGCTTTGGGAAGGAGAGGGAGTGGAAGAGTGGAAGGGAGAGGGAGAGGGAGGAGAGGGAGAGGTGGGAGGGGAGGGAGAGGGAGAGAGGAGAGAGTGGGAGGGGGAGTGAGTGAGAGAGAGAGACGAATGCAGGAAAACAGGATAATCGAGAAACGGACGCAAAACGATAGACAAATAGACGGACATCCCCATAGACAGAAGCCGCCGCACAGGGAGGGAGAAAGCAGCGAGAGAAAGCAGGAACGAGAGAAAAGGGGAGATTCGCCGAGCACAAGCACAACAACACGCGCCTAAAGATGAACGGAATGTAAACAAACTCGGGGGCTTGCCCTTCGCTGTAACTAAACCATTTACCGGTTAACACACACGCGCTCCTCCCTCGTTCCTCTTTTCGCTTTCTATAAATTCCAATTTCGTATCCAGAAAAATATTATGTCTGTATGTATGTATCTGAACGTGCGCTGGTGCTTTCGGCCGCACGAACGTTCTCTCTCTCTGTTTCTACCTTTCACTGCGTCCTTTTCCTTGAAACCGTAAACGTGATCGGAAGGATATTACAGAGAAAACGACGGAACGGGAGGAGGAGGAGTGGAGGAATGGGAAGAGAGGAGGAAGGAGGAGGAGGAGAGGAGGAGGAGGAGGAGGAGGAGGAGGAGGAGGAGGAGGAGGAGGAGGAGGAGGAGGAGGAGGAGGGGAGGGGAGGGGAGAAGGAGGAGGAGGGGGGGGAGGGGGAGAAGGAGGGGAGGAGGAGAGGTGGAGGTAGACGTGGTGCTAGACCATCTTCGTGGTGACCAAAATACTCCAATTTTAACCCCCCGGACAATCTCTCTCTCTCTCTCTCTCTCTCTCTCTCTCTCTTCTCTCTCTTCTGAGAGTGAAAATGAGAGTGAGTGAGGTAGATGGATAGGGAGAGAAAGAGAGGAAGAGGAGGAAGCGGGAAAGAGGAAAGGAAGGGGGAAAGAGGGAGAGGGAGAGGGAGAGGGAAAGGGAGGGAAGGGGGAGGGAGAGGAGAAGGAAAGGGAGGGAGGGAGAGGGAAAGGAGGGAGGAGAGGAGAGGAAAAGGAGGGATGGAGAGGGAGAGGGGAAGAGAGAGGAGGAGAGGAGAGAGAGAGAGAGAGAGAAGAGAGAGAGAGAGAGAGAGAGAGAGAGAGAGAGAGAGAGAGAGAGAGAGAGAGAGAGAGAGAGAGAGAGAGAGGGAGGGAGGAGAGGGAGGGGGAAGGGGAGGAGGGGGAGGAGGAGGGGAGGGAAGGGAGGGAGGGAGGGAGGGAGGGAGGAGAGAGGGAGAAGGAAAGAGAGAGGAGAGAGAGGGAGAGAGGGAGAGAGAGGAGAGAGAGAGAGAGAGAGAGAGAGAGAGAGAGAGAGAGAGAGAGAGAGAGAGAGAGAGAGAGAGAGAGAGAGAGAGAGAGAGAGAAGAGAGAAGAGAGGAGAGAGAGAGAGAGAGCAGAGAGAGAGAGAGAGAGAGAGAGAGAGAGAGAGAGAGAGAGAGAGAGAGAGAGAGTGAAGAGTGAGAGTGAGAGTGAGAGAGAGTGAGAGTGAGAGAGAGGAGAGAGAGAGAGAGTGAGAGTGAGTGAGAGAGAGAGAGCGAGAGAGAGAGAGAGAGAGAAGAGAGAGGAGAGAGAAGAGAGAGAGAGAGAGAGAGAGAGAGAGGGAGAGGAGTGGAGGGCGCAGGAGAGGAGGGGGAGGGAGGGAGGAGTGGAGGGCGGGAGGGAAGGAGGGAGAGAGGGGAGGGAGGGGGGAGGGAGGGAGGAGGGAGGTGGAGGGAGGGAGGAAGGGAGGAGAGAGGGGAGCAAGAGGGCGAAGAGAGGAGAGTAGGGAGAGAGAGAGAGAGAGAGAGAGAGAGAGAGAGGAGAGAGAGAGAGAGAGAGAGAGAGAGAGAGAGAGAGAGAGAGAGAGAGAGAGAGGTGAGAGAGAGAGAGAGAGAAGGAAGAGAGCGAGAGAGAGACAAGGAAGAGAGGAGGAGGAGAGATGAGAGAGAGAGAGAGAGAGAGAGAGAGAGAGAGAGAGAGAGAGAGAGAGAGAGAAGAGAGGAGAAGAGGAGGAGAGAGAGAGAGAGAGAGAGAGAGAGGTGAGAGCGAGAGAGAGGAGGAGAGAGAGAGAGAGAGAAAGAGAGAGAGAGAGAGAGAAGAGAGGAGTAGAAGGAGAAGAGAGAGGAGAAAAGAAAGAGAAGAGAGAGAAGAGAGAGAAGAGAAAAGAGAGAAAGAGAAAGAGAAAGAGAGAAAGAGAGAGGGAGGGGAGGAGAAAAGAGAGAAGAGAAGAGAAAGAGAGAAAGAAAGAGAGAGATGGAAGAGACTGACAAAGAGATAATAAAACAATAAAAAAAAAAGCCAACGCACCATGTCGCAAATTCTAGAGCAGTTTGCCCGAAATAATTTCTTTACCATTTTCTTTGACCGACGAAAGGTCACGTTTTCCCTGAATTCCTCGTTCATGGGTGACTCATCTATTTAACCCACTAACACGTTGGAAACCCAGAATGTCCTCTCCTTTTTGCGCTCATTGCGTCATCTCTCAGCAAAGAAGCTATTCAACAATAATAAAGATTCCTGAACCGGTTGCATAATAGATCTGGTCATATTGCGTGTTTCTACCTTCAATTAATCTATCTGTCAATCCATTCAAACCCCACTCGCTTTATGTTTACGTCTATCAAACTCCACTTCCTTCTATAAAGTTATCACGCAGTATAAACATCTACATACCATCTAACATACACGAGAAATTGCGTGTTTGTAATACCCTCTGTTCCCGCGCAATAATTAATATACTTATTTGGTGTTTCTCCTTCTCTTCTCTTCTACCCTCTTCCCCTTTCCTTTCATTCCTCCCTTCTTCTGAATTTCCACTAATTTCACCACATTCCCCTCTCTTTATCCTTCCCTATATTTTCTCCTTCTCATCCCTACACTCCCATTTTCCGTTCCCCTTCCTCTCCTCCCCTCCCCCCCCCACTAAATAGACACCCAAAAGCCATACAAACGTTGATCCATTTACCGAAAGCTCCATCGCCCAATACAACACGAGGTCGACGGTACAATAATCGAATAAAGGAGAAAATACTGGGGGAATACAATGGCGTCCGTGTTAGCAAACCCCAAGGGAATCTGTCACGGATACGATTAATTAAAGGCAACCTCGTCGGATACGTGCAAAATACAACGTATGTACAATATGGAATGTATCGTCTAGAATACACGTATGTCGTAATGCAAGTTTCTTTTTCTTTTGTCTCTGTCCCTCTAAGACCCTCTCTCTTCTTTCTCACCCTCTCTCTCACACTCATCTCTTCTCGCTTACACTTACTTACTTACTCTACTCACTCTCTCTCTTACTCACTCACTCACTTCTCTCTCTTACTCACTTCCTCTCACTCTCTCTCTCTTACTCATTCACTCACTCTCTCCTCTCTCTTTCTACTCATCTCCTCTCTCTCTCTTACTCATTCACTCACTCTCTCTCTTCTCTCTATCACTCACTCTCTCCTCTCTCTCACTCTCACTCTCTTCTCTCACTCTCTCTCTCACTCACTCTCTCTCTCTCTCTCTCTCTCACTCATCTCACTCACTCACTCTCTCTCTCTCACTCACTCACTCTCTCTCTCTCTTACTCACTCACTCACTCTCTCTCTTCTTACTCACTCACTCACTCTCTCTCTCTCTTCTCTCACTCTCTCTTCTTACTCACTCATCACTCTCTCTTCTTACTCACTCACTCTCTCTCACTCACTCTCTCTTACTCACTCACTCACTCATCACTCTCTCTCTTACTTCACTCACTCAACTCTCTCTTACTCACTCACTCTCTCTCTCTCTTACTCACTCACTCACTTCTCTCTCTTTCACTTCACTCACTCTCTCTTACTCACTCACTCACTCTCTCTCTTACTCACTCACTCACTCTCTCTCTCTCTTACTCTCACCTCACTCTCTCTCTCTCACTCACTCTCCTCTTCTCCTCACTCTTCTCTCACTCACTCTCTCTCTTATCTCACTCTCTCTCTCTCACTTCTCTCTCTCTCTCACTCACCTCTCTCTCATCTCTCTCTCACTCTCTATCTCTTTCAATTTCTCTATCTCTTTCATTTTCTCTATCTCTTTCAATTTCTCTATCTCTCCATTTCTCTCTCTATCTCTCCATTTCTCTCTCTTCTCTCATTTCTCTCTCTATCTCTCCATTCTCCTCTCTCTATCTCTCATTTCTCTCTATCTCTCCTTTCTCTCATCTCTCCTCTATTTCTCTCTCTCTCATTTCTCTCCTCTCTATCTCTCTTTCTCTATCTCTTCCTATTTCTCTATCTCACAATCTCCTCTCTCAATTTCTGCATCAGTCTCCCTCTCCAGAAACAGACTCCAACGGAAATACAACCGCTGTATCGCAGGCCGCCCACAAGATACAGCCCCAGCTACAGCAACGGCATGCAGCAGACCTCCATTGCAGGAGCGAATGTGACCCAGGCGCCGGCGAATATATGGATCATTCACCGTGACTCAAGGATGACTCACGGTGAATGTCTGTGTGTGTCTGTGTGTGTCTGTGTCTTTCCGGTGCCTCCCCTGGTGTTCTTTTATCCGTGGAACTGAAGCCACCTACTTCGCATATTAATAATAGTAATTATAATAATGCAAGATCGACACTAAAGCCATCAACATCATCATCAACTGCAAACAACAACAACAACAACAACAACACAACAACAACAACAATCGAGACAACAGGACCAATGACGAGAGCAGAGCGCCCTCTCGGGGAGGCGCTCCAGCACGCCATGAACAAGTCCGTTTCGTACTCACCCGCGGGCGCGCCGGAGTCCAGGTTGGCGTAGAGGGCGTGCGTGGGCGGGTAGGCGGCGCCGTTGGTACTCATGTTGGCGTAGGCGCGGGCGTGCTGGCTGGTGGGCGGCTGGGAGGCGGCAGGGGGGGTGGGGGCGAATGGCTGCCCACCCCTCCACTTCCACCGCCGCCGCCCGCGTGGGCGTGGTGCGCGCGCGGCGAGTTGTTGTAGATGGGCTGCGAGGCGGTGTTGGAGTAGAGCGGCTGCGCACTCATGGGCACGGCCACCCGCGACGTGGGCGTGTAGCTGTGGGCGGGCTGGGGCGGCGGCGGCGTGTACGTGCCCATGCCCAAGCCGCCGCCGCCGCCCAGGCCGCCCGCGGGCGCCATGGCGGCCGACGACGTGTACACGGCGCCCGGCACGATCACGCCGCTGAAGTCGCCGCCCGCGGGCAGAGGGGCGTCCAGGCCGCGGCCGAGCGCGCCGACGCCCCCGCCCGCGCCGCCCCCGCTGCTCATGATGCGCGCCGACGCCACGCCCACGGTGCCAGGGGCGGGCGCATTTACGGCGTAGTAGTCCTCGACGCCCGCGTGCGTGCTGGAGGGGACGGAGGAGAGGCCGTGGGCGGCGCCCATGCCGATGTTCCCGTAGACAGCCTGCTCCTGGCCTTCCTGCGGGAGAAGAGGGCTTCAGTCATGGGCGGCGGGCGCGGGGGAGGGGGAGGGGGAGGGTGTCCGACCGGGACATCTATTGGGAAATCATCTTTGAAAATCTATTTTAATGCGTTTATTCATCTATCGCTAAATCTACATATTCTCTTATCTACGTCTTCGTCATGACAAAGATAAGCCTACGCACCTACCCATCTAAAAATATTTGTCAGGTATCTTTAAGTACCCTTATCTCATGCTTATCAAACTCATATTACAATCATCAACATTACAATCCAACTTATTAGAACCAAAGTCATCAACATCCCTCTTAATACTACCATTACAATGCATCCACCTCCCCTTATCTTATTTACGATCCATAAAATTCGTTTGATATTTAAAAAAAAACTCCCTTGATATTTCTCCAGCCCCCCCCACTCCCCCGCCCCCCGAGTCTCCACTTAAGTCGCAATCTAAGTATCCATAAAAGTCTCCCTCAAATAAAAACCGAGCCTTAAGTCTCAAGCCTCGCTCGGGAATTAAGACATCTCAAGACACTTGTCAAGCCCCACATTCCCTCCTTTTTATCTCGAGTCATTTCATTCAACGGCCGTGAGAGCGTGAGTCATTCCGGGAACTCCTTCGAGAAATTATGCGCCTACATTATAATTAAAGTAATTACACGCGGCGGAAAAAAAAATGTACAGGAAGTTGTTCTCTCATTTATTGTCGGGTCATTTAAATAGCACAGCGGTAATGGCCAAACTATGTACATGTAGGGCGGTAGTTAGGAGGGGGGAGGGGGTAGATGGAGGGGGCCCCGAATGAAGCATGACAAAGGAAAAAGAAAAGAAAAGAAAAGAAAGAAAGAAAAAAAAAAAAACAGGTAAATGAATAGAGTCAGGTAAACAAAAACTATTTCCTTTCTATAACTTTTTCACGGACAAGTTGCATTTTCCAATCGATGTAGACTATAATAAGGATATGCCAACTTTTGCTTATTCTGAATAATCTTAAACGCTCCAAGTTCAAATATGCAAACATTTATGTCGACTCATTTTGTCGGACACACAGCATCTTTTTTCCAAGCTTAAAAAATCTCGGGGCCTCTTAAGGGAACCACCCCCGGGCCAATGAATGTCTAGTATGCATGAGTATATGTGCATACATGAATGGATGTATGTGTGTATATTTGCGAGCATATGTGTATATATACACATTTGCGTATGTATATACGTATGTACATATTCATACATGTATGTATGTATGTATGTATATTAGCATGTTAGTATGTATGTACGTGTGTTAGTATGCGTCCATGTGTGTATGTGTTTTAGTATTTATGTATAAATGCACGTATGTATATATGTATGTATGTATGTATAAATGCATGTATGCACGTATGTATGTATGAACGTATGTATGCACGTATGTATGTATGCACATATGTACGTATGCATGTATGTGTATATACGTACCTCTGTGTACACATTTACATGTGCATATACATATAACTTTCCTGTATATATGTATAAAGAAATCCCGCTCTAAATTTTCTGTTTTCAAGCAATGCCTTTTCTAATTGAACTAACCTACAGTGTACAGTACACACATATATACACACACACACGCACACACACAGAGCCTTCCCTCTCTCTCTCTCCCTCTCTCTCTTCCTTATCCTCCCTCCAGCTCCCCTCCCCTCCTCCCTCCCTCTCACTCATCCCCATATCCGCAATGAAAGGCTTTAATTCTCTCTCTCTCTCTCTCTCTCTCTCTCTTCTCTCTCTCTCTCTCTCTTCTCTCTCTCTCTCTCTCTCTCTCTCTCTCTCTCTCCTCTCTCTCTCTCTCTCTCCTTTTCTTCTCCCTTCCTCCATCCTTTCTTCCCTCCCTCTTTTCTCTTCTTTCCTCCCTCTTTTCTTTTCTTTCCCTCCCCTCTCTTCTACTTCCCTCTTTTCTCCCTCTCCACCATCCTTCCCTCCTCCTTTCCTTCCCTCTCCCTTCCTATCTCTGACACACCCGCAATGAACACCTCCTTCTTCCCTCCCTCCCTCCCTTCTCTTCCTTCTTCCCTCTCTTCCTTCTCCTTCTTCCTCCTCCCCTTTCTTCCTTCTTCTCTCCTCCTCCTTCCTTCTTCCCTCCTTCCCCTCCCTTCTCCTTCCTTCCCTCCCTCCTCCTCCCTCCTTTCCTCCCTCCCTCCTCCCCTTCTCCCTCCTTCCTATCCCTCCCTTCTTCCTTCCTCCCTCCTTCTCCTTCCTTCCCTCCCTCCCTTCTCCTTCCTTCCCTCCCTCCCCTCCTCCTTCCTCCTTCCTTCCCTCCCTCCTTCCCTTCCCCCTCCCTCCCTTCCCTTCCCTCCTTCCCTCCCTCCTTCTCCTTCCTTCCCTCCCTCCCTCCAAACAAGGCCGCACACGCTAATCTCGTTTCCCTTGGATGAGGTCGGTCACTCCCTATCTATCAGAGTATTGCACCAGCGTGTGTGTGTGGGGGGGGGGGGTGCGTGCGTGGTGTGGGTATGTGTGCGTGTGCGTACGTGTGTATGTGCGTAGGACTTCCACTGGCCCCCTTATCCATTTAAGGAGTAAGTAAATGAGGGAGTGAGGAAGGGAGCGTCGGGTATAAAGAAGTAGTGAAGGAGCGAAGGAGTGAAGGAGGAGAGGGAGGAGGGAGGTTGAGGACGTAATATCGTTACTACTGACTTGATTATACGTACATACATATGATAATGTTTATAATGATAATTATGTCAACACCATCATAATAATAAGAGCAAAATGATAATAATAATAATAATAATAATAATAATAATAATAATAATAATAATAATAAAGAGGGCGGCTAGACCAAAGTGAACGAGAGAGAGAGAGAGAGAGAGAGAGAGAGAGAGAGAGAGAGAGAGAGAGAGAGAGAGAGAGAGAGAGAGAGAGAGAGAGAGAGAGAGAGAGAGAGAGAGAAGAGAGAGAGAGGAGAGAGAGAGAGAGAGAGAAAGGGAAAGAAAATACTGACAAATACCTTAGGAGGTCCATGCAATGTGCAGGCCATTAAAGCTCATATTCCCTTATGATGATGATAAATCGGCTGATAACGTTTTCTTTCAGTTGCTACAGGCAGAGAGAGAGGCAGAATAAGGGCAGACTAAACTAACTTGGCCATATCAGCTGTAACAAAAAGCAAAAAGCCGTACGATATTTCACCTCCCCTCGCTGCTTCTTCTCTCCTCCCCAACCCCAGGTTTCTTTTTCTCTCTCTCTCTCTCTCTCTCTCTCTCTCTCTCTCTCTCTCTCTCTCTCTCTCTCTCTCTCTCTCTCTCTCTCTCTCTCTCTCTCTCTCTCTTAAAAAACAGACACCCATTCATATGAAACTTAAAGAAAGGGCCAGAAGCAGCTGCACCGGAGAGAGATAGAGAGAGAGAGAGAGAAGATATAAGAAGATATATAGAGAGAGAGAGATAGAGAGAAGAGAGAGAGAGAGCGAGAGAGAGAGAGAGAGAGAGAGAGAGAGAGAGAGAGAGAGAGAGAGAGAGAGAGAGAGAGAGAGAGAGAGAGAGAGAGAGAGAGAGAGAGAGAGAGATAGAGAGAGAGAGAGAGAGAGAGAGAGAGAGAGAGAGAGAGAGAGAGAAGAGAGAGAGAGAAGAGAGCAATGCAATGCAACCAATGGCACGCCATGTGTACCAGCGGAAGAGCGGACGTGCCCAGAGGTGCCTTTGGAGTGAAGCTGGACATGCACAATGGCTCTTATAGGTGACATGCACAGCGGGGAGGAAGAAAAGGAAGGGGGATTGGCGGAGGCAGTGAGGGAGGAAGTGAGGGAAGAAGCGGGGAGAAAAGAAGAGGAAGGAGAGGAGGGAGGAGGGAAACAAGAAAGATTATATGTACATAGATGCATGCATACAAAAATCACAACACAACACACGCACACACACACACACACACACACACACACACACACACACACACACACACACACACACACACACACACACACATATATTAATAATATATATATATATATATATATATATATATATATATAGAGAGGAGAGAGAAGAGAGAGAGAGAGAGAGAGAGAGAGAGAGAGAGAGAGAGAGAGAGAGAGAAGAGAGAGAGAGAGAGGAGAGGAATGGCTGTAATACAGAGAGAGAGAGAGAGAGAGAGAGAGAGAGAGAGAGAGAGAGAGAGAGAGAGAGAGAGAGAGAGAGAGAGAGAGAGAGAGAGAGAGAGAGGAGATCGGATTTCAACTGATAAAGGGATGAAAATTTGAAGCAAGAGTGCAATCATAAAAATACTGAATCTCAATCAATCTTTTATGTATATATCTGCATGTTATCTCTATCTCTCTCTCTCTCTCTCTCTCTCTCTCTCTCTCTCTCTCTCTCTCTCTCTCTCTCTCTCTCTCTCTCTCTCTCTCTCTCTCTCTCTCTCTCTCTCTCATCTTACAGCAATTCCTCCCCTTTTCTCTCTCTCTCTGTCTCTTCCTCTTTCCTATCTCCCCCATCCGCCCATAGAAAGAGACATAACGAGCAGAAGACGCAGCCCATACTGCCCCCGCGGCCTCCACTCTCCGCCCTCTCGCACTCCCTCTCCCTCTCCACCTCCCTCTCTCCCTCGGACAACGCCCCCTTTCTCAGCCTCTCCGCTCCTCCTCCTCCTCCTACCCACTCACAGCGCAGGAATGCAACCTTGCAAGTATGGCAACCTTCCCTCAGGGGCTGGAAGAAGAACGAGAGGGGGAGGGAGAGGGGGAAGGGGAGGATAGGAAGAGAGGGGGAGAGGAAGGAGAGGGGGAGAGGAAGAAGAGGAGAGGGGATAGGAAGGAGGGGAGGAGAGGAAGAGGATTGGTGGTGTCGAGTGGAGGGGTGGGGAGGGGGAGGGATAGTAATGGACCCTGAGTTCTTTAAAAGCCACAAGGTCGGTATCGCGTCGCCTTTTCGAGCTACTTTGATCCTTATGACGTCGTTCTACCTTTACCCCCCCCCCCTTTTCCCCCTTTCCCCCTCCCCGTCTCTTCCCTCCCCCCCCTTCTCC